TAGAAAGTTTACATTTTTTTCGACTTTCGTCTATTTGGCTTAGTTTTCTTCATTGAAGTTCTGAAATTATAGTTTAGGTATGATTTTGTAGAGTATTTCGCCGTGCATCTTTTAAAAAAAGCATCGAATCTCGGAAACAAATCCAAACCAAGTTATAATATTTTACAAATGACCCCGAACTTTTTGCTCAACCTAGTAATTACTAACCGGAAGTTCTCGTCTGTCCTGAATCACACATAGATAACCTCATGGAACTTACCAATTTTCGTACACTTTAACTCGATAAGACCCTTTCCTTTACCCAAGTAACGCTCGCTAGTCCGCTGACTCTCCATCCAAGACTCGGGGCTGTTCCGCTGGTGGTGTAGTTTCCATTGTACTATCGGGCGTAAGTGACGCTTGTTCGCAACGTGACAGTTTTTCACACTGTTGATCACTCGCTGCATGTATACGCAAAGTGACTTTAGGAACTTATATCTGTGAATGACCTTCGATGACTTTGGATCAAAGACAATGCCCACGTCCCTTCGGTCAGTGTGCGCTAGAGGACTAGCTACAATAATTGTGCACGTACATCCTTCACACCGTGTACAGACGTTTCTGTACGTAAGTCCGTAAATTCTAGTAATGCAAATTATGCACTACTAACATGTCTTAAGATGTTCTTCTGTTCTACCTTGTATCCTACAATTCTAACTGCCAAACCGAATACTAAACCAAGTGAAAATTTCTATCTAATGGAAATTCGCCCAGCTCTGGGTAAGATGGAAGTCTTCAAGCAAACGCATCAGGTTCTTGTGGAGAAACACGGATTTTTTCAAGGTAAAACCTGAAATTCCTGTGGGAAAACATGCATTTCTTCAGGGAGGAACATGAAGTTCTTGTTGGCGAACATGGATTTCATCCGGGAAAAACATGTAGTGCTTGTGGACAAACATGTATTTCTTCAAGAAAAAACATGATGTTCTTGTAGAGAAACCCGTATTTCAACAACAAAGTGGAGAAGCACGGATTTCCTCAGCAAAAAGCGTGAGGTCTTCATTATATTATTCATATACGACGGACGTGTTTTCTCCTCTTGACTATATACTCCTGCAGTCTTTTCTTAACGGTGAAATATTATTCGTTCTTTTTGAGCCTTATACTGCTCTATTTGTTCTTTTTTTTTGCCGTGGATAGTGCTTATTTACTGTGCTATAAGGTGTATAATTTTCGTCTCACTTCGTTCGTTAATTTCATCTATTCGTACCTTTTATTAATTAGTTTAAACTGAGTCATTGATCCATAGTTTATTCAAGTTGTTCTATTGGTCGTCTCTCGTCGTATCATCTCTCCGATTCAATCCAAGATGTAATTCATAAATCCTTTGTTCTACCATGCTTTTCTTATGTATGTGTTGTTTTAGGTAATAATACTGATATAATTTGCAACGCCTTCAGAGTGCACAATATCGTGCAGCATTAGCTGTTACGGGAGCTAGGCGTGGTATAGTTTCGAATCTGTTCTTTCTGATCTTGACTGACCTTGTATACATAATATATTTAAGCAACATCGTATAGTTACATATCTCGCTTTAAGCGAATGATCTAGTCTACCGAGTGATGTGTTACTTACGTTGAAACTATCGATATTAAAAAATAAAATAAAAAAACGTATGATAGTCAATTATCCTGTTGTAGAGAATCGTATGAATGAAATACATACATAAAGAATGTTTGATAGAAAGCAGAAAATTGTAATTCTGGAGTAGAATTATCACGATATATCATTTAGCTCAGGTTTTGACGCTAATTCTACACGCATACTTAGTTTTGCGATATAACTAAAATGTTCATGATGACAAGCGCGAAATATCACTGCATTTTCTCACTGATTTCTACCTACTGTGAAAAATCAGTGTTTTTAATATTTTCATCTAAACTTGGTTTTTAAAAAATTAGAATTCAATTTCTTATAGACATTTTTGTGATGTTGTCTCTTCGAATGCACAAAATTTCCCTGCTCATTTTTTCTCGCACCCACGACAGAATGGTTTTTTTGGTGTTAATTCTGTAACACTAGTAAGTATTCAACCTTTATTTGCTAATAATAATAATAATCTGTCAATGAGGCACTATGCATCAATTAAATAAAATACATCTGGCTAGCGCAAAACATTTAGCTGCACTATCACAACAAATAACCGTCAACAATGCAGCTACAAAATGTTTGCAGATGAAAGTTGACCAATTAATACAATCGTTAAGCGCTATTGTAATACCTGCCATTACCATCATAGGCATATCAGTTTTAAAATTAGTAGAGAGTAGGGATGATCGGTTCTCGATTCTGGAACCGAAATGGCGGTTCCGGTTCTCGAGTTAGAACCAAATCGAACAGAACCGCGGTTCCGGTTGCCGACTTAGAACAGAACCGCGGTTCTCAGCTTAGAATTGGAGAAGAATTTTTCAGGCAGTAACATTTCAACAAAATAAAATTCAGTTCATAGTAAACAAAAGGATTCTTTTAAATAATGGCAGGCAAATACATCTTTTTGCAGCTTTGTTAATAGTGTGTTTTCATTTGGTTAAAAGAAAGGCAAGACAGCAAGATTATGGAGACAAGGACAATTTTCTTCTATAGTAGAATTTAACACAAATATTTTCAAGATCTTTCAAGGACTTTTTAGCGAGTCATTTTAGACGACAAGAAAAAAAATGTTTTGGTTCAATAGGGCCCCTAGTTTGAAAAAGTTTCTAGAACATGAATTGAAAACTACTCCGCTGAAATAGATAGTGGCTTCTATGGAATGGCTCTTATGTGAAACACACAAATATACTGGAACTGTCTGAAGTACTCCGTGAAATGAGCAAGTGAAAGGCAAAGGTTTTATGCAGACGATGAAAAATATTCCAATGCGCAATATCATCAAGTTGAAACTGCTTGTCTCTCTACTAGGAATGTTCGGTTCTCGCTAAGAATCGGAACCGCGATTCTCTTATTTTTGAACCGCGGTTTTGTAGACGGTTCCTATTTTGGAATCGAGACTTTTTTAACCATTGATACTGCAGTTTTATCTCGAGAAAGCTATATTTAGCGTTCATAAGGTATACTTGTGCGCGAGATCTTCTATACCTGGCAAACCCATCGACTCTTCTTAGATAAGACGTAAAGCATGTCGTTATAGTGGCCATAACAGCACGAAAAACGTTATCCTTTCTCGCGACTTCGTTTCATTCTTAAAGGTATCCACCTTGCCTCTTTTATCACCTTCTTACACACATCCGATTGAGCTCCAATTGAATCAGCATCAAAACCTGAGCTAAACGATATGTTTTTCAAGACGTTTGCTTGTTTTCGATTTCTTGCAGAAAACTCAACTCCAAAATCTTGAGATTCAATACATTCAACACATTTTTTTGACGTTAATTCCAAAAATATACTTGATTTTGTGATATAAATGATATTCGTGATAATTCTACTCCAGAATTACAATTTTCTGCTTTCTATCAAACATTCTTAGGAAAAGACAGTAATTTTTTACCAGTTTTGTACAACAGAGACGGTGCATACGCCTATACATGTGCATAATGAGTGTCGGACATACGTTATCGAATTCGTCTTGCCGAGTTCTTTCGAATGATATATGACACTATAGGTCATTTGCTGAAAAAGGATGAATTCATTGGGCTACCATAGCGCGAGTTTTCTTCCAGCAAAATCCGCCAATATTTTCAGTAAAATGTAGGAAAGGTTACATTTTTAGATCTAGTCGAACGTGCTCCATCAAACATAAGACTCAAAACTTTTTATATTTTAACTGTTTTTCGATCAGTTTTTTTCATGAGCGGTATAGTGGCTACACAATTCACTCATATACATTGACTATTTTATGTAAGTTTTATGTCTTCCAGCATAAAACATCCAAAAAATCATGAATTTTTTTGTTTCTTATCTACAGCTAGAAGCTGAGTACATGGCCAGTTAAGTTTGTGAAAATCCAAGCACACTTGTATAGTATTTGAATAATTTTAATTGAACATCGAAAATCTTTTCAAAATTGTTTAGATGAATAAAAAAATTAGAAAATTAGTTCTTCCTAATGACAGTTCAATCAAAACGTAACAAGGCGACTGTATTTAAATGAAAGGTAAAGTTATTATATCATACATTGAATTTCTTTTCAAAAAATCCTGTAAATTAAACAATTCCTTTGTAGGAAATAACGAATGCTTTTGCTTTAACATAAAAAGGTTTTATTATCTAACGCCCATACAACACCTGAGGTACAATTTGAAGATGTACTTGCACCAAATTCATCACAATGTGGTACAAGTCCCCCAGTTTGTGGATTATCTTCTAATAATTTGATATTTTTTGACGAAGTAGTGTTGTAACCAATATTAACATTTGGTGGTAAATTAAACGTTGAATATAGAGTGCAACTATAAGAGTGCATTTTAGGTGCAACAAACACAGTTTTCCTAAACGCAGAAACATAATAATATCGAAAAAATAAGCCGTTTACTCGGTTAACGTTTTGAATAACGCGAGAATGGAATGAGAGAGAATTCCGAGTTTATATCATTTTAAAGAGAAGACTCATATATTTGGCGACAGAAATATCGATTTATCAGATGGTGTATCTGATGGGTAAAAAGCTGATGAGGCTGCTTTTTCCTTGACTTCTTATAGTGATTGTTATGCTGTATGTTCCAAGGTAAGTTACTTACCAGACCCATGACGCACATGTCTTATAACTTTCAAGGCATTTAAGCATACAGTCACACTCATTTTGTTTGCTCGTAAATTTCAGATTAACTGTTGTAGCTACGCCAGTTATGTCATAATCTAAATGAAGAATTGAATAGTAAGCAATGACAACGGACAGAACGTTTGTACTTTACTTTTAACATAACGACGACAACCCTTTTCGACAAGATGTTTACTATATGGAGAAGTAGTACATATTTGTTTATCAGCCAAAGTATTATAATTGGCAAAAATGACCAAAACAATACAGAATGTTGTAACAGTGTGCATCATATCTTCACCTGTGAAGGTAAAATCAATGAAACGATTTATTATTTGACGGCTTATTTATTTGAAAATGAAAAACGTAATAACGATAATATCATGACTTTAATTGAGTGGATAATGCGAAGGCTATACTTTTTCGCATTGCAAATAAAAAGTAAGAACGCCTTTTTCCTGACTTTAAAAGTTTTTCTAACCAAGGACGAAGGCACAGTAATACAGCTAATAATCAACAGCAGCTACCCGCTTTATATTGTAAAATATATTGTGTATTGTATTCCGATTCTTTCAGATGTTAACCAGTAGTTTATACTACCCAGGATTTTTAAACAGAGCAATCGCCGATATATCGCCATAAAGACATTGATAATGGTACATAACGCGATATCGTCACTGTTTATCGCAATACATTCTACGTCGCGATCTATCAGACGGTTCCGATAGATCGCGATGCAAGTTATTACTGCGTTATCTCTACGATTTATCGCGATGCAAAACAATGTTTCGTTCGGTCACGATAGATATTTATCGATCAATATCGCGATACTGATTCGTATCGCGTTAAATTGTAGAAATATCTGAATGGCAGAAGTAGTAATGCCTTTTTATCGGGATGTATAGCGATATGCATAAATTTCGCGATATCCTACTGATTATCACGATATAGATGAATATGGCGATAAGGTGCACTGAGTTTTTTTTTAACGCAATCTCAAGTCTATCTCGATATGAACACGAATTAACATGATACTTTTAAAAAATATTAAAATACAGACAGGAAACACCTTAATTAGATTAAAATAAAAACATTTTCCGGATAAAATCTAAAAACAATACAGAAAACGTTGCCGGATAGAACCTTTTAAGATTCAAGAATTGAGTACCATTTTATGAACTTTTTAAGGTTCAAGCCAAAAACGGGTTCTGTGTCACACCTTTTTTTCCTTTCGGTTAAAACGTTCACAAATGTTGTAGTACCATTCAAGTGGTTCGATATCGAACGTTTGTAAAAGAAGAGTTTCGTATACGACCTCTCTCTGCAAGAAGGTTCGCTATGGATGCCTTTTTGGTCGCGTCCTGTATTTCTTCTTGTCATAAAGGGACAGCCGAATTCACAGAACTCTATATTCATAAAATTTCCAAAAGTGGCAGAAAGAATTCAAGAATTAGCATCGAGCTCTTTTCCAGTTTCTGAAAGGACGGGGCTCAGGTCCCTCTCAGATCAAGCTCATATTCACAAGTCTGATGTAGTTTTCTCCGTGATTAAAACTAGCACCTCAAAAAAACCCGGGGGGGGGGGGGGGGGGGGGGGGGGGGGGGGGGGGGGGGGCGGGGGGGGGGGGGGGGGGGGGGGGGGGGGGGGGGGGGGGGGTGGGGGGGGGGGGGGGGGGG